AGTTGAGGTGAAGTAAAGGAGTAGATCATAGGAACTGAATAAATTGAGAAGTTAGGGTACTTGGAATATATTGATGTATACATTAGTATGTATGTTGAAATCTCTTATATAAGGGCAAGCATTGGAGAGGAGAGAAAGATCATGAGTCACTACTGAACTCATTGAAGAAGGAAGGACAAAGTCACAGGGGTCAATAGATAACAGGAATCTGATCTAGATGGAGTGATGAACTAGGGTAGCATGAACCACAGAGGAGGAGAGATTACTTGGCGAAGGTGGTCAAGGGAGAGTCTGGAAGTAGCAACGAGGAGTAAGGAACATTCTTCATATCCAGTGAAGACAGGGGAGTGATATGAGAAAAAGTGTAGCCAATAATGGAAAGGGTGGTGAGGGAAACTGTCATCAGGAAGGAGCTACATCTCACTGAGCACTAGAAAATGGGAGGGGTAAAAAAGAGGTTTGAGATGAAAGGAAGTTTATTCATTATGGAGCAGGCCTTGCAGAGAACACAGTGGAAGGGGTAGGAAGATCTGGAGTGGCGCATTGCGAGGGTAGGGTTGAGGCAGATTGGCATGGGGAAGCAATGAGTAGAGGAAGAACAAGGTTTGTACCCTGGCCACTGGAAGTTCAGGATCACAGGAATGGCATGTGGGTATAAGGGGATTTGAGTATGCTAACCATTGAGCGGTGAATTTAGGCAGAGTACCAGTGGTTGTAGGGAAGTTTCTCGAGCAAAACACAAGATTACAACGTTCAAGGTCCTTCATTAAGATTCATCCTCCTGGCTGATGGAGATGTTGGATTTTGTAAGACCCAAGGAGCACTGCCTCATAGCAGGCAGGAGCAAGAGAAAATATGGGAGCCCAGTCTCCCAGGCAGGGTGGCTTGCTTTCAGGATGTAGGCCCTGGGGGTGGGGTGGGGCAAGAAATGGAAGAGGTCTTGTTCAAAGTGGGCAGTGCAGTGCTGGAGAATGTCCTGGGGCAGTGACCCGCTCCTCACTTATGATGAAAGATAAAGTCCAGGAACTAGCAAGGCTTCTGGGAGGTCTTTCACCCAGTGTTTGTGTCCTGTTTCTGCTAAAAGCAGCTATAGCTCTGGGCCCAAGGGGAGGATGTCAACAGTACTTCCGGTAGTTGACAAATGGGAGCCTTAGTGACCCACTCCTCCACAATCCCTGCACCCTTCCCTCTCTGCTGGAGCCAACATTCAGTTCCCACTGAAATTGCTTCAGGATAGGGCTAGCAAGTGGCATCTGATTGGCATGGAGTATGCCGCCACCATAAGTGCCCTCTGCCTTCGTCTAACGGAAGGTCCTGGCTTTTTTGGGTCTTCACAAAGGAATAGAAAGGCATGAGTGGGGACACCTGATGTAAGGAGGAGAAAGAGAAGGGTCAGCATTATATTCCCTCCAGCAAGAGTTGGAGTGAATTCACTGAATTAGTCTGCATGTGAGCTTTGTGTAGAATTGTATCTGTATAATGTAAAGCTTAAAAAAAAAAAAGGCCCAAGGAAGCTGCCAAGTGATGTTGGTTTTCTCCCCATTTTCTCATTCTTTCCTGTACAGACCCGACAATCACAGGTGTCTGCAGATACTACATCTGGATGCTGAGGTCTTGTAGCCTAGTAGTTAGTGCTTTGAACTTATAATCGGAAAGACTTTGGTTCAAAGCTTGCCTTGATGATCATATGACTATGGGCAAATTATTTAATCTCTCTAAGCTTCATTTTCCTCATCTGTCAAATGGGTATAATAATAATACTTAAGGAACCTATCCGTTAGGGTTATGCTGAGGCTCAAATGAGAAACTATGTAAAATGCTTTGCAAGCTGTATAAAAATGAGTTATTATCTGTATTTGAGATGGCATAGTATGCATGGAACATTGTGCTCTGCAAGTACCCCCAAATGCCAATCTTTAGTATTTGACTGGAATTGAGAATGTAAAGAAAGTCTGGAGTCCTGCGTGAGTGGTTTTATGTAATCGTAACTAGATAAGACTAGAATAGTTTCTTCCTCTTGTGTTTTTTGGCAATATTAGGAATTTTCTCAAAAACTTGAATCAGGAACCCTGATGTTTTCAAGAGGCTCAGAGCAGTTTTCTTTCCCTCCCTTGACTCTTGGGTTCCCAACCTCCTGTTAAGCCAAATCCCTGGTGACTGATGACACATTACACCCCAAACCCCAACTGCAAGTATAAATGCCTCAGTTTTCTCCTGCTTCTTCTGCTTGGGGATGGAAGCTGAAAGGGCTTTCATAGGATTAATCAATTAGTCAACAAACATTTATTATAACAAACATCATAAACTATGTCCCAAGCACTGGGCTAAGCACAGGGAATCCAAAACCAGGAAAACCAAAACAACCAAAACAAACAAAAACCAGTCCCTGCCCTGTAAATAAATTCAAATGGGAGAGACAGCACGTAAATAAATAGATTATATATAAGGTACATGCAATGGATGGTAACCTTAGGATGGCATTAGCACCTGGGGGAACCAGGAAGAACCCCCTGTAGAAGGTAGCATTTCAGTTGAGCTTTGAAAGAAGCCAAGGATTCTAAGAATGGGGGATGAAGAGGGATAGCATTCCAGGTAGGGGGGGAACAGGCATTGAAAAGGCATAGAGACTGGAGATGGTTAGGACAAAATGTCTGGACTGTAGAATAGGTGGAGGAGAGAAATGTGTAAAAATACTAGATAAACAGGCAGGTCCCAGGGTTGTGAAGATCTTTAATAAAGTTTATATTTGCATCTTGAGGTAATAGAGACCCACTAGGGTATATTGAGCAGGGGGTAGGGAGGTGACATCAGCCTCTCCATTGCTTTAAGAAAATCACTGGTAGCTATGTGGAGAATGGATTGGAATGGAAAGAGACTTAGGTAGGAAAACTAATTAGGAAGCTATTGCCCTCATCCCAGAGAGGGGTGATAAGAGCCTGAATGAGTGTGGTGGCTGTATGAGTAGCCTCAGGGACCTTAGAGACCATCTAATCCAATTGCTTCATTTTATTTTATCTTTTTTTTTTTTAAGTTCAAAGCATAAGACATTTAGCCAAACAGCATAGCAAATTCAGAAATAAGAAAAACTCTCCCCTTTTCCCTATACCTACAGGGCTACCCTCACTGGTTACTGAACCACCTGTTGTAAGTATATGCAGACAGTAAACACAGGTAAGGGCAGCTCAATGCTGCCACACCTGGAGTCAGGAAGACCTGAGTTCAAATCCAGCCTCAGATACGTACTAGCTGTGTGACCCTGAGCAAGTCACTTAACCCTGTTTGCCTCAGTTTCCTCATCTGTAAAATGAGCTGGAGAAGGAAAAGGCAAACCACTCCAGTATTTCTGCCAAAAAACCCCCAAATAGGGTCATGAAGGGTCAGACACAACTGAAAAACGACTAAACAACGACAAAAAACATAGTTAACTGAGGAAAAGGACTAGATGGGACACAAATGTAAGGAACAAGTGTGGCCAGACAGCATATATGTCCGGGGTGATTCAGAGCTGCTGACATCCTTTGGTAATATTGACGTGCAGCTCAAGCCATCTTTTTGGTGTGTTCTGGTTTTGTCCTTCATCGAGTCACTGGTGGGCATCTAGGCTGCTCTCTGCTGCCCCCTGCTGTAGTGCAGCTGCTAGGAAGTGTCTCCCTTGCAAAGGGGTGTTTACTTCATTTAGTACACATGACACCTGGGGATCTGTTTGGTAAGTCAACAAAAGCCAGAAGAAGCCCTGAGGCTAAAATTTCTCTCTCTCTCTCTCTCTCTCTCTCTCTCTCTCTCTCTCTCTCTCTCTCTCTCTCTCTCTCTCTCTCTCTCTCTCTCTCTCTCTCTTTCTGCTAGGTCACCAATTCTAAGGTCAATGACCTTTATACTATATCTCCTGTATTCTCAGTATCTTAGAAATGAAGCTATTTTTTTTTCTTGCATCATTGAGCAGTTTACAATAAAGATAGACATTCAAATATTCATTGCCCTCACAAACTTAATGACCTAGGACCTTGTATCATATCCCCCAAATCCCTGAGTTTTACAGAGAGAGGTTTATTTACTCAGAAAACAAATTTTGAGTACCTATGCTTTGCAGAGAATTTCTAGATGCTAGGAGAGGGGCTCAGCTACTACCTCTAGGATAAAAGACTAATACTATCATTTGGCACCAATAACTCTTTACAATCTGGCTCCAGACTACTACTCATATTTCCCTTTATACTCTCTAATGATCCAGCTAAATTGGCCTTCCCTGATGCTTCCCAAACACAGGGTAGACCAAGTCTCATTCTTAGTCTCTGGCCTGGCTCATTCTTCCAGCCTAAACTCATGTCAACAGGTCTGGGCTTTCCCGAGAGGGAACACCAGACTCAAACTTTCTCAGGGGAACTCTGTTGACCAGGGGAGCAAGGAAGGGGAATGGGTGTTGGGATAACACTCATACTATCTACCTTTGTAGCTCCTGAGCCTCCATCAATGTGCTTCCCATTTACCCAAAATCAGTCATTCGCAGTGACAACACCATTAACCTTTGTGCACCAATGTGCATAGGAGATAGTGGGCACAGCCTCATTGAAATCTAGGAGGATGGTGTATGAATGGAGCACCCCTGTACCCTGGTGCAACTCACAACTGTGAAGTGCAGGCCATAATTTTCTTGGGCTTTTCAGGAACAATATGCACCAGACCAAACTGCTCTTCTGCTATCTACTCCCCATTTGGTTCTCAACCTCTATACTATTGGGCAATCTGATCTTCTGCTCTAAAGCTAGCGAAGCAGTATATGGTAGGAGGAATATCCTAACCCTTGCCCTCATCCAGGTTAGGCTAGTTTTTCCTTAAATGATGTGGAAAACATTCTTGAGACTTGATTGGCTCAGGGGACTGGCAACTAGGGGGCACAGAGGGTAAGAGTGCTAGATTTGGAGTCAGAAGACTGGAGTTCAAATCTCTCCTCTGACTCTTCTTAGCTGTATGACCCTGAGCAAACCACTTAAACTCTCTCAGCTTCAGCTTCTTCAATTGTAAAACAGAGATAATATTAGTGTTGTTGTGAGTATCAAACGAGATAACATATCATCACAAAGTAACAGCACTTGGCAAACCATAACTCACTATATAAATGCTAGCTATTATCATTACTTTTCATCATTGCTGTTTGCCCAAGTATGACACAGTCACGAGGAGCTCAAGGAATCCTGTCAGATGCTTGGCTGCTAACTCAGGCAAGAGAGCATCCTTCCATCAGCTGAGTCAACTCAATGTCAGGGGGTCTGTCCTTATTGCCTATTCTAAATATCTTTCTCCTGCCATGGCTAAGAGGATCTCTTTTTATTAACTGTTGAATGACCTATGAATGTCTTGTTTTGTTCCGAATACCCAAAATAACCTATGAGGATTAAGCACAAGCACTTCAGCCTGAGTCAAGTACAGCCCAGAGCTTACGTAGTTGTGCCAGCCTGAAACAGAATGATCTCACCAAAGTAGGGACTGGGTTGCGCAGAGGAAGATAAATCCAGACTGGCCTTTGTGCTTCTAGTGGTGCATTTGTTATTGCTTCTAGAGATGGTGATTGCTTACTGTGAAGCACCCCCTACTCCTGGGAAATTAGAGCCTAAACTTCCTGTTTATGCAAGTGCATTGATGGAGGCTCAGGAGCTACAAAGGTAGGAGAGGATGATGAGAATATGTTCTGTGTGCTTAAGAACTGTACCTTAAAGACAACTATGATAAACTCTCTTTTACACCCACCAGGTGTATTCTCCCTGTGCCTTCTAGCTTGATAATTTTGCCCTTTGACCAAGTTCTACTAGGGGTTCTCCTCAGAACTCAGTTTATTTTCATAGTGATTAGGATGGATTTTAAAAAGTTTTTTTAGGATTAAAAGTGATTTCCCCATAATAGAAAAAGGACAAATTCAGAGGAATAAGATGTGCCCCACCTTTGTATTGCTAATGGTTATCATTTAATTACCTTTGGGAGAATCTGTGGAAAAAAGGCCCCTCCCAACTTGGAGGAAGTCTAGTCACCATTTGTGTGTGAATGGGGAAATAACTGGTTTTGAATGGCTTTGGAAATGATAGTCCAGAAGAACAAGCAGTCCTCAGTCCTGTCATTGCATATAGATGTGTTTTGCCTTTGAGCAGTGGCATAATGTACCTGGCAGTGAAAGAATGCAAACAAAGGCAGATCCCTGAAATTTTAGGACTGTCTAACTACTGTGCTGAAGGAACTGCTTGAATTTGGTTTTGTCCTTTTTTTTAAAAGTTGGCATCTGAGAGGCCAACTGGAATTTTGCCACATGGACTTTGTTGCTATTCTTTGGTGCAAGCCATTGGGGGAAGGACTTAAGAAGACAATGTTTAATTTTCACAAGGAGTCCAGAGACATTTCTGGAATTGGAGATATGGACAAATGTGTTAAATGCATGGCCTCCTTCACCCCCACCAGATAATTTGTGGAAGATGGGCAGGGATGCTGCATGCATCAGATTAAAATGTTTCTATTCTCAGCTCTGACTATGAACTGTGAATTATAACTATCTCTGTCTGTCTCTGTCTCTCTGTCTCTCTGTCTGTCGCTGTCTCTCTCTGTCTCTGTCTGTCTCTGTCTCTGTCTGTCTCTGTCTGTCTCTGTCTCTCTCTGTCTCTGTCTCTTGCGCGTGCTTTCTCCTTGGTGCTCAGGCCACCATGGCAGGAAGAGATGTTGTCTGCACAATAGGGCACAAGTACTGACCTAAAGGTCTCTGGCTTGGTTGGTTTTTGTTTTGCTCTCTGCCTTTTCTGGGCAGAAGTGGCAATCCTCAGCTGGACATTCCTAGGCTTGGTGGCAACCTGGTGGGTTTGAGGTGTCAGATGCTCCTGGGTCCTTCAGTGGAGGCTAACTTGAAGCAGGAAGAATTTTCTGAATTGGAGAGGATGGTTGCTGAGAAGAGTGGGAAACCCAACCCCAGTAGGATAGGCCAGAATCCTTTTGAGTAACTTGACTTATCACACACACATGACAGTTTCTGAATTCAGTGACTATGGTAGACCAGTCAGGGGCAGTGACACTAAAGCCTGCAGCACCTGGCCCCAGCTCTGGAGGGCAGGACTGGGCTTTAGTAATCTAGTAGCATCCGCAGTGCTCTTGGCAAACATAGGAGGGAAAGTGCAGGCTTACCACCTAAGGGGAGGGGAATAAGGCCTGCCATTGCGTGAGCAGAGTTAGGCCTTAGCACCTAAGCCTAGAGTAACACAAACCCAGCCTGGGAGGAAGGGCTCAGACCTGCCTAGTAATGGCAATTATTCTGCTCTCATACAGGGCAGTAGTAACTGACCTTGACAAAAGTGATAGTGGGCAGTAGATCCCAGAGGCAGTGGACAGTAAAGCTATTTATTAATGTAATAAATCTCTTACTCAGTTTTATTACAAAGCAGTGGCAGGGACAGAAGCAGACAGAGGAGTAGCTTACAGTGGAAGAAAAGTGGGCATTGGCCTGTGTAGTAGCAGAAGGTGCCTCCACTGTAGCCTATTGCTTCCTCTCTAGAATGTGATCTAGAACTGATTGACCTTCTCCCAGTTGCTACCAGTAAAATATCCAGTGGTTATTATGCTACTTGTCCCCAGGGAGGGATTGGAGGGATAATTTTGCACTTAATAAGCAATTAATAGATGCTTTTTTCATTCATTCATTCAGTTCAGGTCAGTTCAGCTCTAAAGCTGAATCAGCTCAAAGTGTCCTCAATGCCTATCACTGCTGAACATCATTCTCAAGCTATGGCTAAGTAGGTCTCATTATTTGAATTCATACTATTCAAAGATATAATAATATGTAAAATATAGTAATTGACTCCAGCCCAATGGAAATATGCAATGAAAAAATTTTTAAATATATTTTTAATCTGTTCACTAATCGCGAAGGATAAGAAAAATATTTGGTTCAAATTTATTACAAAGTAATGAGTAGTTATAGAAAGCAAAAATAAAATATAGAATATATTTTATATAGAATATATATTCTATATAAATTTATATAGAATTTTATATAGAATGTAGAATAGAAAAATATAGAAAGCAAAAATAAAAAATACTGAATATATCTAAATATGAGCCTATGCTGATGATTATAGAAACATAATTATTGTGGTTTAAAATATTTTAATATAGATTGAATTGTCTTCTGTTTAAATCTTCATACACATTCTAGGAGGAACAAAGAGCTTTATTCAATCTCTGCAAATTTGCATGCTCACGTTGCATGACCTAGGCACTATCTAAAATCAGTAATATTTTAAACAGGATATTCTTGACCTTGCAATATTTTTTCAACAACTAGGCTAAAATAACTTGAAAACCAGTCTTCAAAAATAGCTTTAAGTCAACCATACTTTCTTATTTGATCTCCAAAGAACTAGAAATGATTGATGGTTGTAGCTCCTCAGAGCTTTCAAGAATGATAAACAAGAATTGGTTTTAATTTAAAATCCCCTTCTCTATTCCCTCCCAATAAAAGTGTTAGGTAGTGGACACTTTAAATCTAGGTTTAAGTTTTTTCTTTCTTAGATATGTAAGCTCTAGAAAGCATCCTTTTCTAGAATAAGCCTGTTTCACCCACATTAAACTTTTATTAATCAGTGTATTCATGTTTTTTGAATATTTTCTTAAAAATATCAGAATATTTAGCTGCCACATCCTCATTTGCATTGGCTACCTCTCTGATAATTTTAACATTATTCAATTATCTTGATTTCTAAACTGATGAACTAATATTTGCAGTAAAAGTTTCTTCACTGTCCATTTCATTTCTCTTCTCTTTCATTGCTTTAAATAAATGTGAAGCACTTTCCTGAAAGACTGCTCTGCTAAGAGTAGTGCATTTTGGATTGCTTTCAATTTACATAGTTAAAAGATTGCTCATTTCTATTACTATAACATATCCATTCCTTGTAGTTGTTTTGCAACCACAAAAAGCTGATGTCACTGTGTTTTTCTTTTATTTCACCTCTGTGTTTTGTAATATCCATAGATATCGTAGAGTTAGACATTCTGACATCTCATCCTATTTTAGAGTTAATAATAATAATGACAGCAGCTAGCATTTCTTTAACACTTACTGTGTGCCAGGCACTGTGCTAAATGCTTTACAAAATATCTCACTGAATCCTCACTACAACTCATGAAGGTAAGTGCTAATATTACATCTGTGGAAATGGAGGAAAACAAAGGTTAAGGGACTTGCCCAGGGTCACACAGCTAGTTAGTGTCTGAGGCCAGATTTGAACTCAGATCTATCCTGACTCCAGGCCCAGTGCTCGCTCTACTTTACCACTTAGCAACTCACAGAGTTACTCTGACCGTATTCATATCATTCAATTCCAGTAAATTTTTATTTCATGTAACAAGAAGTTCCTTCTCCTCTGTTTGCAATGGTAGTGTCCTACCTGAAATATTCTTGCTTTGGTCCATTTCGTTTTTGTTGTTGTGTAGTCATTCAGTTATCTCTGATTCTTTGAGACTCCAGGGATCATAGAACAACAGGCCCTTCTATTCTCCACTGTCTCCTGAAGCCTGTCCAAGCTCATGTTGGTTCCTTCCATGACACTATCTGTCCATCTTATATCTGCTGCTGTCCCTTTGCCTTTTGCTTTCAATCTTTCCCAACATCAGTCTTTTCCAATGAGTCCTGTCTTATGTGGCCAAAGTATTTAAGTTTCAGCTTTAGTATTTGACCTTCCAGTAAATAGTCTGAATTAATTTCTTTAAGTATTGACTGCTTTCATCTCCTTGCTGTCCAAGTTGCTCTCAAAAGTCTTCTCTAGCACCACAGTTTGAAAGCCTTGATTCTGTGGTGCTCAGCTTTGCTTATAGTCCAACTCTCACAGCCATACATTACTACTGGAAAAACCATAGCTTTGAGTATATGGACCTTTGCCAGCAAGTTGATGTCTCTGCCTTTTGGTATGCTGTCAGGCTCTTACAAAACATAACACAATTGTTGGTGATATTGTACGTAGCAGTGCATCACATCCACACTTGACGATAAGCAAGTTCAGACAGACAACATAGCATATTAAAATCTTGATTGTCTTATGTGCTTCTACATTAATTCAATTTTGTCTGTATTAAGTGCAACCTGATATTTTCTTATAAATTCACACCAAATCAAATTTCACATTATTGTAACTCAAATTAATTGAGACCTAGCAGCTAATCTCTTTTTCTTTCTTTTTCTTTTTCTTTTTTGGCTAGGCAACGAGGTTAAGTGACTTGCCCAGGGTCACACAGCTAGTAAGTGGTGTGTGTCTGAGGCTGGATTTGAATTCAGGTACTCCTGACTCCAGGGCCAGTGATCTATTCACCGTGCCACCTAGCTGCCCCATATCTCTTTTTCTAAACTGCTGAGTGACCTATCTTATTTTGTTCTAACACTAACCCAAAACTACCGAGGTACTGGCCTGAGTCAAGCCTAGTAAGAAAACAGTGACAAGCTCTTTTAACAGGGTACTAAGAACTTGTTATGCTCCTGTAGTGATAAGCAGTTCCTTTGATCCAGAGAACTGCCAGACTCTTCCTATTGGTTCAGGGACAATGCAGAAGAGTCCAGTCAGATCTTCACTCAGTGGGATTCTATTTTGTCCCATCAGGCCCTCTTCTAATTGCAAAACTCCTTGGATTTGCAAATAGCAGGGGTTTCTGCTTTGTCCAATCAGCCTTAAGTCTCTTCACAGCAAAATAGATGGGAAGACTATTGTCTTCTCAATGTGGAAAAATTGGAACACTAATACATTATTGGTGGAGTTGTGAAATGATCCAACCATTTTGGATAGCAATTTGGAAAGCTGCTCAAAGGGCTATAAAATTGTGCATACCATTTGACCTAGCAATACCACTTCTAGGTCTGTATCCCAAAGAGATCATAAAAATAGGAAAAGGACCCACATGTACAAAATATTAATAGCAGCTCTTTTTGTGGTGGCAAAGAAATGGAAATTGAGGGGATGCCTATCAACTGGGGAATGGATGAACAAGTTATGGTATATAAATGTAATGGAATACTACTGTGCTATATGAAATGATGAGCAGGCAGACTTAAAAAAAACCCTGGAAAGACTTACATGAATGGATGCTGAGTGAAATGAGCAGAACCAGGATAACATTGTACACAGTTAACAGCCACATTGTAAGATGACTGACTTTGATAGACTTGGCTCTTCATAGCAATGCAAGAATCTAAGACAACTCCAAAAAACTCATTATGGAAATTGCTGTCCACATCTAGAGAAAGAACTGTGGAGTCTGAATGCAGATGGAGGCATACTATTCGCTCTCCTTTTCCTTTGCTGTTTTTGTTTTATTGCTTTATTCTTGTGGTTCCTCCCATTAGTTCTAATTGTTCTTTACATCATGACTAATGGAAAAATATGCTTAATATAAATGTATAAGTAGAGCCTATATCAGATTGCATGCCATGGTGGGGGGAGAGGAATGGGAGGGGGAAAATTTAAAACTCAAAAGCTTATAGAAGTGAATGTTGAAAACTAAAAATAAATAAATTAATTATCAAGAAAAAAAAAGACTATTTTCTTCTCCTTTTTGTTTCTTCCACTCCCACCATAAAGGCAATAGAGAGCAACCAGGTATCTCTGAGAGATTCCCCTCTTGCAGGCTGGTGCCAAACAGCAGCAGAATTCAGTTTTCTTAATAAGCTTCCTAGAAATTCTTCCAGTCAAATAGCAAAGTAATGCCTCTCTACCAATTAGCAGACTCAGAAGCAAACCAGTTGAGGCCCTCCTATCAGTTTACTCTCTTTGTAGCTTCTTAATAGGTGGCTTTTCCCTTTGTTCTCATTCCTCAAATCAGGTAATACTGGTGGTCAGTGACTCATTTTTACCTTATGATGTAAAACCTATATCTACCTTTAATTTACCTTATGATGTAAAACTCACATCTACCAAAAACTAAATCTACTTTTCTGTTGGACATGAACCTGATTTTTAATTTTTAATCTTCCCCTAGTCTCTAAACATTATTTTATTGAAGACTTTGTCAACTGAAAACACTCCCATGCAAATGAACTGATGGACCACAGTGTCCTGTAGCCATCTCTACCTTCAAAGAAGTCTTTTCATCTGAAGAGCAGTTTTCTGTCCAGTCCTCCTAACTGTTCCCCTTTACATTTTATCTGAGAAAAAATTTCTTCAAAAGTGGATTTCATCCTTTTTTCTGTGCACCAAATTTCTTTTTTTTTTTACCCATTTCAGTAACCAAACTGTTCACATAGGAAAGTGCTAAAGTTAGTAGTAGCTTATTTCCTGGCTCAGTGTCTTTGCATAGATTATTTATGTTTGGAAAATGCTTCCTTTCTCACTTCTGCCGCTTAGAATCCTAAGCTTATTTCAAGAACCAGATCACCAACCACATCCTCTGTGAGGCCCTAGTTTTCAATGCTTTCTCCTTCCTCAAATTGCTTTGTGTTTACCTAGAGTAGACACTACATGTTTGTATGCCCCAGTAGAATGTAAGCTTTTTAAAGGCACAGCCTGAAATTGTTTTTCCCTCCTTTCACAGTGTCTTGCTCATAGTGTTTAATTAATGCTTGTTAAATTGAATAGATCACAGTTTCTAGTCGGGGTTTAAAAGAAATTCTTGTTGCTTTCCTTTTCAAAGCCCCTTATTAATATGCTACTGAGTCAACAGAAATAGTTGCATCTTGGTACCACTGCTGTTCTCATGACCCTGGGACAATTGAGGGGTTGGTAGCCCACAACTCCATCAACATTAAGTTTAGTCCCCTTCCAACAACAGAATATAAGCTCCTTAATCGCAGGAAGGTTTTTTAGCTCCTTTGGTATTCCCAAACATCTTGAATATATGTAAGAGTAGTTGATAGAGGTAAGCAATCAACTTACTCCACCCCACTTAACCCAAATGATAAAATGGTATGCCCTACTAGCTTAAACAAATGGGAATACAGCTTTATTGAATCAGAGCAATCAAAGGCATTCCAACTAAGTGTGCAAAGGCCTTGACCAATTTAGATGTCTCTGGCCATTGGATGAGCTGGAAGTGATGTTGCGTGGGGTATGTTCAATTTGGCTAAGGAAACTTCATCACACTCTAGGGGTCTTTTATAAAATATCAAGGCAGTTCAGCTAGAGGGAAATTTGACATACAGCAAAAAGTAGAAATGTAGAAGTGCCACTTCCAGGAATAAATCTGTTTTGGGGGGTGAGGAGGAAAACACCTCAGTCTTAACTTCCTTCCTCTATGCTAGGGCTGCAAAACATATGGATTTCAGGTGGACTGAGAAAAATGTAGAGCATGTAAAAGAAAGTAAAGATGTAATGAGTGCTTTGTCTGTGCCCCACTTAACCTGTCTTCCACTAATCACTATTGTGCCCATCATGTAACTTGGTGAGTGGGTTGCCTCTGAATACTCTCTCCTGTTTATCACATGACCACAGCAACCAACTTTTGTCAGTCTGTCTCTAGTCTGAGAGGATCGATTTCATGATAAATAAAAATCTTAAGTAATAAGTGTAATTAATTTATTATTAATTAAAATTCCCCTTTTAAAAAATATGGTTTATTTGCAAAATAGTTTAATCATTATTTATACCTTTACTTGGAAAGTGAGCCACTAAAAACCTCTCTGCTGCTCGAAGAAGTTTAGCCTATTTTAATTTTTGCCCCTATCTATTGACAAGTTGTGTAGGTCTGCTCTATCCCTTCCCCAGTCATGGCCATAGAAGGACCTTGAGGACTTTGGAGATCTGAAGGAATTCCCCTGAGATCCTGGCAGCGTCCTTATTAGAGCTATCATCAGTTTCTGCACGGAGGGCCAAGGACAGACCTGACAAAAGATTGGCAACTCCATAAGGATCCCAGAAAAGAAGACTCACCACCCCCAAGAGAAACTCCTTGAGCACCTCATCCTGTGAATTACCTATTTGCCACTTGTTTTTCTAATTGTGAGCCCACTTTTCCTTAGACTCTGTACGTACTTGTGGGAGAGTGTGACTTTTGGTGGAGCGTGTTTTGTACCAATTGCTATTACAATGCCACCTTGGTAAATATCTTTTCCTAAACGCTAATTAAGTCTGGCTGACTATTAATCAATTCATAATCATGGAAGGAAGCTCATCAATAGGAACTTATGAGTAGTAACACTAAGAAGCACCCCACTCTGAAAAAAAAAAGCCCTTAGATCTACCCCTAGAATCCCGGTGGGGGACACAGTAGTCATGTTCTGGGGACCTGACTCATCAGAGCAAATGAGAATTGGGATAGTCATTCCAGAGCATGGGACACACATGAACACACATACATATGTATTTTCTGGTTTGACAATGTTCTTTCCTAAGTATGGGGAACTTCCACTGTTATGAACTGGTAATTTAGTAATTTATAATTTTAGAGTAGGGGTCTTAACTATTTTTATGTCATGGACCCCTTCTCAGAACAGCATTTTTAAATGCATAAAACAAAATACATACAATCACAAATGGAACCAATTTGTTATCAACCTGTTGAAAAAACCCAAATAAGTTCACTTGATCCCAAGTTATGGACTTTCCTTTTCCTTATGGACTGTCTAGACTAAGGGATTTGCCCAGGTCCCACAGCCAATCAGTGTCTGAAGCAAAACTTCAGCCCATGCCTTCTTGCCTCAATTGCCTGTCTTCTGTGTGCTCCATGGTCCCCATCCCACCGCCATTAGTAAATTTGCCGGCTCCATATCACCTCCAGAATCTAATATAAAATTCTCTCTTTACCATTCAAAGTCATTTATAAAGTAACCCTTCCTGGTTCATAGTAAGTGCTATATAAATGTTAGCTTTTTTATATAGAAACATGTTTTGCATGACTTTATATGTATAACTGATATTATATTGCTTTCCTTTTCAGTGGCTGGGGTCAAGTGGCAGAGGGGCAAGAAGGAGAGAACACGGAACTAAAAAAATTCTTTTTACTGAATGTTAAAACTGAATGTTAAAAAAAATAAAAATTTTGAAAAAGAAAAATACATTAGCTATTATTAGTAGTGCCTAATAAAACTTGATTTTCCTCAATTATTACCAATCTAAAGCAAACTGCATCCTTCCTAATCTCTCACAAAATGGGGAAAACGACAGTCTTCTGGAATAAAATAAAAATAATGATAATAGCCAGCCTTGATGAAGGTTTGCAAAGCGCTTTGTAAGTTTTAAATTATTATATAATTTTGTACTACGCTAGTCACATCCCTTCAAAAGATGGGGAAGACCCCGTACACTATAGGATTTTAATAAAAAAAAACCCGAGCTTCATTTCTTCAATGTTTTCCTTTAAAGTTTTTCATTTGCAGGTAAACACGACGGCAGGATGAGCCAATCAACACCGTCTCTCGCAGGCCTGGGGAGCAGAAGTGGTGCACGTGAGCGCGGGGGCGGGGCCCTGGCCAGGGAGGAAGAGGCGGGACCACGCCGCCGCTCGCACTTCCGGTGAGCCGAGCTTGGCGCTCCGTTACCAGGTGTGTGAGCCGGGAAAGTGGGGGAAGGGCGCGGGAGGGAGAAGCGGGGAGCCGGTTCGTGCCCGCGCGTCGGCCTGAGTGCACATGCGCGCTGTAGTGCTGAGCCAGGGGAGTCCATTTCATCCGAGGCGGGAAGCTGGGCTCGGCTCCGGGGGAAGGGGGGAGGGCAGGACCAGAAGCACCCTGCCTTCTAGGGCTTCTAACCATTCGTAGTTTACTGTCGATTTTCAGTGATATCTGAGTCCTCCTGACCCCATTTGGGGTTTCCTTGGTAAGGATACTGGACTGGTTTGCCATTTTCTTCTTCAGCTCATTTTACAGATGAGGAAACTGAGGCAGAGTTAAGTGACTTTGCCCAGGGTCACACAGCTAACAGATGTCTGAGGCCCGATTTGATATCAGAAAGAAGAGTCTTCCTGACTGCAGGCTTGGCACCGTATTCACTGCCTCAGCTAGCTATCCCTAATCATAGATTACAATAGACAGATTTAATCAGTTATCTTCTGACACCTAGCTGAGATCTGAATTTTGATCTGGGTGTGGTGAATTGAGAGCTGGAGAAGACCTGGGACAAAGAAGTGTCATCTTGATTATGACACAGGTCATAATCGTCAAAGATTACGTTGAGAGTGGTAGGCACTTAAATTAGACAGTGGCTCAACAAGTGGCATATAATTGTGATGGAATATTATTGTTCTGTAAGAAATGACAAAGTTTCAGAAAAATCTAGGAAGGCTTATATGAACTCATACAGAGTGAAGTAAGTAGATCCAGGAGAACATTGTGCACAAAAGAAATAGATGTGAAAATTAGACAAAGTTGAATCCTTGACCTCTGACACATTTGACACTGTTGACTCAGTCTTCCAGTGTACTCTCTCCTATCTGTTTTTAGTACACAGCTCTTTCCTTGTTCTACTTTTATCTGTCTGATCCATTTCAGTTTCTCTTCCTGGGTCTTCATCTGTGTCCTGCCTCCTATGAGCAGGGGCTCCATCTTGGTCCTTCTCTTTCTACAGTTTTCTCAGAGATCTCATCAGCAATCCTAGATCCAGTTACCATCTAAATTGAAAGAACAATGAAATCTCCGTATCTAGCTCCATTTTCTCTCCTGAGCTCCATTCCCCAATTACTATCTACCTAGGGTACATCTCTACCTGGATGTTACATAGATCTTTCAAACTCAACATGTTCAAGTCAGAACGTATTATCTTTTTCCTTAAACCCACCCCTCTTTTCTTGACATCTTGATTTCCATCAAGGGCAACTCCTTCCCCCTTTTGAGCCCTTAATCAGTTGCCTAGTCTTTTCATTACTACTTCCATAACATTTCTGATATCTGTTTCTCTTTACTCAGATGGCCACTACCTTGTCTAGACAATTGAAATATCCTCCTTAATAGGTTTCCCTGCCTCTTTCTCCCCTCTTAAATACATCCTCCATATAGCTACCAAAATAATCTTTCTAAAACATGGGTGTATTCTTTTCACTCCCCTACTCAAGTAGATTCTGTGGCTCTCTATTTACTCTGAATATGATAAAAACTTCACTGTTTATCATTTAAAGCTGTTCACCCTCTGATTCCAGCCTTCCCCCTCCCCCCCAGGCTTTCTATTTTTTTAACATTGATTTTTAATTTTTCAGTTCCAAATTCTGTCCCTTCCAGCCTCTCCTGGACCCATTGAGAAGGCAAGCTATGATACTTATTATACATGTGAAGTCATGCAAAACATTTCCATATAAGTCATGTTGCAAAAAAAAAAAGAAACAAGAAAAATAAAGTAAAAAAAATATGCATCAATCTGCATTCAGAGTTACTAGTTTTCTGGAGGTGGATAGCAGGTTTTATCGTGAGTCTTTTGGAATTATTATTGGTCATCCTATTGATCAGAATAGCTGTCTTTCATGGTTTGTTATTGTTATAATATTATTGTTAACCATTTACAGTGTTTTCCTGGTTCTGCTTACTTCACTTTGCATGAATTCGTGTATGTCTTCCTAGGTTTTTCTAAAACTATTCTTATTGTCATTTCTTATAGCACAATAGTATTCCCTCATAGTCATATGCCTCAACTTGTTCAGCCATCTCCTGATTTCCACTTCTTTGCCATCACAAAAAGAGCTGCTATAAATATTTTGCGCATATAGGTCCTTTTCCTTTTTCTTGGATCTCTGGGGTACTGGGAGTGATATTGTCCAGCCTATCTCTCTAGACTGATTTCACATTCCTTGCTTCCCCATCCCCATCTCCATTCCAGCTTATTTGCTGTTCCCCCTTGAATTATATTACAATTTTCATTCTCTATGCCTCTGCACACACAAATTGGCTCCCATGCCTGGAGTGCTGTCCTTCCTCATCTTTATCTGTTGGAATCCTTATCTCCCTTCAAGGCCTAGTTTAAATGCCATCTACATGAGGTCCTTCCTGATCCCCTCCATTTTTAGTGTGCTCTCTCCCCTTCAATATTACTTTGCATTCATTTTATATATATTTTATATTTATTTGCCTGTAAACCTGTTGCATAGAGTAGGCATCTGATAATAAATGCTTATTGAATTGAAGAAAAAGGACTTAAGGTGTAAGAACCGAGTCAAGGTTACATTTGAATTTATAATAACAGCTAACATTTATATAGTGTTTACTTTGTGTTAGGCACTGTGCTAAGTGTTTTACAATTATTGTCTTATTTGGTCTTCACAACAGCTCTGAAAAGTAGGTGCTATTATCATTACCTCCACTTTACAGATGAGGAAACTGAGGCAAACAGGGTTAAGTGACCCTGGGCTCACATAGCTAGTAAGTGTCTTGAGGCCAGATTTGAACTCAGGTCTTCCTGACTCTAGGTCTAGCACTCTCTCCACTGTGCTACCTAAAGTCATAAGTCTTCTTTTCTTAATAACTTGAAACATTTGAGAGAACCTTAACTTTGGAATGAATTGAGATGTCAGGGTAGAGAGCTGGATAATCACCTTTGAAAGGTAATGGTAAACCAGTAGGAAGACTGTGTTGGAAGAGTGCTGAGATATGTCATTGGTTCTCCATAATTATCTTGTGTTCATTTGCTTTCAGGTCCTTTCTTCAGTGCGTAAAGTCTGACAAGTTGAATTGTTAGAGTTGGCCCAGGGAAATTATGTCAGGTCCTTCCAGATCTTGTCCAAGGCCTTGATGTCAGCACTGAATCCTCAAGCATTGGTGGCAGTAGCTCAGAAGACCCTGGGTGTGGGAAAAAGAAGGGGTCCCCCTCGAGCAGTCTGCCTACACCTAGCTGGAGAAGTCAGAGCTGTAGCCAGGGGGCTGAAGCCAGCAATTACTGTATGATTGCAATGCTGCAGATGCTGACCAGATTCAGAGATATTTGGGAGAGCTACAAAGGCTGGGCCTTTTGTTCCAGGCACTGCACATTCTGGAGTTGGGGGGAAACATCCTGATTGTCAATCCTGTGCAAGTGTGTCAGCATATACAGCAGGTGCTGTGCAGCCCTGTGACCTTCATGGACATTTCAAGCTTCAGATCTCACCCTGCCCTCTGCCCACTTGATGAGCTTGGAGATTTGAAGGACCACTTGGCTGAGATCATGACCCATTTACAGAGCCTGGAGGGGAAGCCCCTCTTGCCCATCTCTCGAAGTGAGCTCTCTTCTGCTGGCTGGAATCTTTGCACAGTATTTGGGATTCTCCTGGGCTATCCTGTCCCCTATTTTTTCCACCCAGCCCAAGGGGACAGCAATTGTTTGGCCCTGGTCCCACTGCGTGTGTTTACTGCTCGAACTTCATGCTGTTGGCTCACAGGCCTCCCCCAGATTCAGCTGTATTCTTTCAGTGTCCCAGAGAGCTTGTACCCATCCCTGAAAGACATACTAGACATGTGGGGGGAGGACCTCAGGGCTCGACATGAGGCTCAGGGTGATTTTGTTGACCTTACCATTTCCACTGAGGTTGTCACATTGCCTTCAGTGGTACTGTGATTCTGATCTATTTCTACCTGGTAGGCACTCAATAAATGATGATGATTAGCTGTGTGATCATAGGCAATTCCCTTAGCATCTCTGAATGTGGTTCGTTATCTGTAAAATGGGAGTAATAATACTTGCACTGCCTACCTCACAAAGTGGTTGTGAGGAAAAATGTGTTATAATTATGAAGTATGGACATCGTAAGGGGGGGCCAGCCTATGATGGCAGATACTATCCTTTCTTTGGTGTCTTGTTTCCTGTCCAATAGAAAGAGGGCAGGAATGATGAGATGGTGGGGAGTGGATTATCTTTTCTGGGGAGAACAGTTTTTGACCCAAGATATTTTGCTCTTTTTTATAGTAAACTTGCAAACAACAAATTACAAATTCCACCTATTGTTTGCTTTTTGTTGCGATCTCTGGGGTAAAACTGAATAAATCTAGATTTTCTTCCATGAGACAGCTGCAGTATTCTCCCCCCCCCGCCCCCAATCCCACTCCCACTCTCCCAGTATTCTCTTCTTTAGGCTAAACATCTCCAGTTCTTTTGTGTAATCCTTATTTGGTTTGAACCCAAGGCCCTTTCGCTATCCTAGTGTCCTTTTAGATACTTTGCAGCTAATCAACGTCCTTCTTAAAATGTGGTTACCAGAAATGAACATGATACTACAGATGAGGTCTGACCACATCTAGTAAAGTTACTGATCAGATGTCACGTGTCAGCAGTACACAGTGCACACTGAAGAACTGAGGTTATATACAATCTGGTGGAATTTATTGACATATCTCACAATTAGTCCCCAAAGTAAAACGGTCAGAATCTTCCCCCAGCAGCATGAAAAGGAACAAAACAAAAAACCCTCTTTAAATCTTCAGCTGCTTCACTTGCCTTTTCTCTCAAGGTGGTTCTCCTTTCCAGCTGTTGCAGGACATTCAGATCACCACGCTGTCTGTGTTGGCCAGAAATGCTGCTAGTGCTGTAGCAATCACTACTATTAGCGCAGGGAGCCAACAGCCACATCGTCTCTGAAATGGGGAAAATAAATAAATTGGGTGGAGCCTGGATGTTCCTCTCTTTTGGCAGAAGGAAAGCTAAGCCCCATCCTGTTGCCTGACACGTTGCAGTGTGCCTTGCAGATGGCCACCAGCCCACAGGCCTTAGCAGAGGCATGGCAGGGCTCTGTTGATAGGATGCTCATGTAAGATTGACCTCATTACAGTTATGGAGTGTTTTACAAAAAAATAGATCAGCAGCATTTACTTTGTCCTCATTCACATTTTCCACATTTCCTGTCCTCTTCTAGCCATTTCCATCTCTTTTTGGTCCCTACTTCCCATGTTATTTGTCTCAGAATATTACACCTGTTCTGAATAGGGACTGAACCTGTGATCTTATTGGTAGAGGCAACTCGTGGGTGAAGAAACTCCTTTGACTAATGCAGGTTGGCACCCTCAATGTATTTTGTAATTTTAGAGAGTTGCCTAGAGAACACTGAGGTATTAAGTGACTCGCTGATAGTTACACAGCCACTATGTGTTAGTGGTAGTACTAGAACTCAGGTCTTGACTTAAAGGCCAGTAGATACGACGTTTTTCATGTCTGTAATCCTTTTTTTTTTTCTTCTAGTTTTAGAGTCTCAAGAAATCTAAATTCATAAGAAACAGAATGGATAAGCTACTGAGATTTTAAACTTCGTTTGTTACCTAATTCTTTTAGGCTCTTGGTACCTGGGCCAGCCTTACTCTTTATGTAGCATGTGGTAGAGACAGTGGGACAGAATAGTTAGGTAGTGTGGGCTGGTAAGTTTTATCTGCAGTGAGTTACAGCAGGCATCTTTGGGCTGGAGGGTCAGTGGCAGAGGGTGCCTCAGTCTTACTCTGTGGGGTGGCTGTTGACCCCGGTTCAGCTCCTCCCGGCATTGCTGTAGCTTCCTCAGACAAGAGAGGTACTCATCGCTCAGGCTGTCCAGCTCCGAATGTAACTCTCCACACTGAAGATATAATAATATGACCAAAGTCATTGTTACTTCCTTTGCTATCTTCCTATAATTCACAGTCTTTCTAGGCATTTCTAGTTTTCCTCACAATGTGGCAGCTACTTTAGGACTTTAAAGAAGTAGCTGGCCATGACCTGGGTCTGGTGATAACGAGAGCTGACATAGAGCTTTAAGACTTGTACATCAGACATTACTTTTCAAGATTTATTATTTTCCCTGGGGGGTGTGTGTGTGTGTGTGTGTGTGTGTGTGTGTGTGTGTGTGTACATACACATATGTGAGAAACACATCATGGCATCACAGTATAGGGAAAGAACACTGGACTAGGAGTCCAAAGAAACCAATAAGTAATTTATATAAGGGTTTATAGTTTATAAAGTGTTTTCCTCACTGGGAGGTAGTTAGGACAAGGAGTATTACCAACACCATTTCACAGCTGAGGAAAGTGGCCCTCAGAAAAATGACCTACCCATGATCACATGGGTCAAGACTCTAACCAGATTCCTTCCATGACACCTTAGCTGCCTCTCAACGGATCTAGAAGCTTCATGGAAAACTCAGTTGTTGTGCAAATGTGAGGCATTGTGTCTGAATGTAATTGGAGAAATATTTAACAAATAAAAATACAATAAAACATAGATAACATTGCATTTAAAAATTAAGTCCAGATGAGGGCCTGCAGGAATCATTATGTGTGATTTAGTGGCCTCTGTTTCTCTTTGAAATTAAAGGACCACTCATACAGTACAGGGACTTTTATTGGACTGAGACATGTACTTCTGGTTAGCTGGTATTCACTAGTTAACCTATTTCTGAATTGTGCCATGAAAATCCAAAGGTTACTGTTGAGAAAAGCGTGAGCTATGTGTCTTGTGTCCTAACAAGAGATTGGTTCAGGAAAATGGAAAGGAAAATGTTAAGATGTTCATAATTCAAGGAAAAGATGTCTTAAATGACTACCTTTGGCAAGATGCATATACTTAGGTACAACATGTGAGTCTGGGAATTGTTCTTTTGGCTTATATTGTTACAGAAGCAGCTGAATCTCCTCCCACACAATCGAACCCCCTTCTCACCTCCTTGTCTTTGGCTTGGAGCTGCAAATTTCTCTCTTGCAGCTGATCCCTGAGATTCTTTTCTCTCTCTTCCCCTGAACCCTTGGACTTCTCTTCCAGATTGGTGGGGGTTGAACTCCATGTAGCACAAGTCTGACCTAGAAAATCAGCCAGACTATCTGTGAGCATGTTATCCATGCCTTGGAGAAGGAGGGGGCTGGTCTGTGAGCAATAAGAGCCACAAACTTTGGGTTGGGAGGACCTTGCTCTCAACAGGATTCATCTAATAGGCACCTCCATCTTTAAAGGTATCCTATGAAGGAGACTCCACATCCTTTATAGTCCTGTTTGGTATCTAACCTGAGCCTTGTTGCTTTGTCTTGAACCTATTCCTTCTTGTTCTAACTTCAGCAGCGATGGCAAATTAGCTGGTCACCTTTAAGAGGTAGCAGCTAGCTGGCAAGACATTTGTGCTTTATGGACTTATGTTTTCTCATAACATGAATGAGGTAGCCTAGATAATTTATAAATTCTCTTCTAGTTCCGAGTCTCATGGTTCCCAAAACAAATCTTCACATATGTGAAGACAATTATTCTAACATCCCTCTGTCTTCTCTTCTTTAGACTAGTTAAAAAAAAATCCCAGGGGTACAGCATAACACAGTAGAAAGAACATTGGGACAGGAGTTTGGAGTTTTGATTTCTTACTTGGACCTTGCCACCAGTAGTTGCATGACCAGAAGCAAGTTACTCTCTTTCTCAGTTTCCTAATTTGTAAAATGGGCATTATAATCCTTGCTCTTCCTAAAGATGATAAAGTGTTTTGTGTTCCAGCTCTGTACTTCCTAGCTATCTGCCTTAAGTCACTTAACCTTTAATATCACTGAGATACGAAAGCAACTGGAAACAAGTTAGGGAGTGCTATATGGATTAGAGAAAGGTCCTGAAACTGTGATTTTCTTGGTATGGGGAATTCTCTCTACCAATGCAGATGGACATTTTCTCAGCAACATAGAGTTTTAGAGTTGCCGAGAGCACTGAGAGAGAAGTTAAGTGACTTGCCTAGTATCACACAAGCTAGGATGTGTCAGAGGCAGGACTTGAACTGAAGTCTTCATGACTGAGGATAGCTTGCTCTCTACTATGGCACGCTGTCTTTTGAATATCTGGCTGTGAGACCCAGTAATTGATTTCCACTCCTTTCCTTTCCTACCCTTTGCCAAGGAGCACCTTCGCTTTCTAATTAAGTGGCAGTAGGCAACGGAGTACATGGATTGGTCCGTGAGGATTCTGTTGCCAGTCTCCACTGTGGAGGGTTTCCTGGTGTTACTTGGTGGTATGTGGGCAGAGAGGCAGAACTGTGAAAGTGGTTTAGTGGATCACAATCACAGCCTCAGTCAAGGGAGTAAGAATTGACATAGGAATCCTGAGGTCAAAATCAATTTATTTTGCATGTTCACCATCACACACACAGGTTTTCACAGAGAACAGAAATCTCATTTCACAGTGGCTGAACATCTTACTGTCTTAGAAACAGAAGGCTTCCTGAAGAGCAAACTAGTTCGCTGCTGCACAAGAGTACTTTGAACATTCTCTTGGTCTAGAGTAATAGAATCCCAGGGCTGGGAAGGGACCTTAAGTAGTCTTCTAGCCTCCAGGCAAACAAGACAATTATAGAAGTCTTAGACTTGGGTGGAGGGAATTGGCTGACCTTTCTGTGGCATAGGTTCCTCTTGGATGTGAAGCTGGATGGATTGGCTCTGGAGAAGATCTGTAAAAACAGAACAAAACAGGATGCTCTGATCTTTTCTAGGCTGAGCATGCTTGCTTCATTGAGTTTTGTTTAGGCCCCTTCCTTTGACCTGAATGAAGCTCTTCTGTTTCTGAATGAGATTTCTAGATGATGCCAGAAGTCATGTAGTCCAACCTTCTCTTTTTTTTTTTTTTGGCCAGGCAGTCAGGGTTAAGTGACTTGCCCAAGGCCGCATAGCTAGTAAGTGTCAAGTGTC